GACCTTGTGTCCCAATAGGAGGTCAGGTTTGCGTATGACCATGACATCTAAGAAAGGGAGTTGGCCCTCTATTTCTTTTTCCATGGTGAATTGTATATTTGGGTGGATGCTATTGAGATGATTTTAAAATTCTTCACATTTTTCTTCACCATGGCTCCAAATTGCAAAGGTGTCATTCACATATCTGAATCAGACTGTAGGTACAAAGAGTGCTGAAGCCAGGGCCTGTTTTTCAAAATGTTCCATATAGAAGTTCGCTGTAACTGGGCTGAGGGGGTTCCCCATGGCCACTCCATCTGTCTGTTCATAGAAATTCTTATCCTACTGAAAGTAGCTGGTTGTTAGGCAGAGTTGGAAAAGGGCCATGTAGTCTTCTGGAAAGATCTGCTGGGTGAATGTCCATAACTGGTACCTTGGTGAATAGGGATACATCATCAAAGCTAATCAGTCTGTCCCTGGGGCTGAGTGTTAGGGTTCTGATCTTGTTTATGAAATGTCCTGAGTCTTTGATGTAGGATGAGGTTTGTCCATTGTGGGTCTGTAGGAGGGTGGCTAGGTATTTTGCTAATTCTTATGTCAGGGAGCCAATGGCACTTAAAATGAGCCTGAGTGGGATTGAGTCTTTGTAGATTTTGCGGAGTCCATATAATCTTGGTGAGAGAGCTTCTGTCTTGCAGATTCATTGAAGTGATTCATTGAAGTGAATCAGATAGGGGTCCTACTGTACTTCTCAGACTGAGTTTCCCCTCTCCTCCCCCCTCCTCCCAAGCATCTTATTGGGGAGCCATGGCCAATGGCCAATACATCAAGGTTGCTGCTAGTTGAAAAAGTTTGAGAATCAGTGCCACACAGCAAGGCAGGGATTCAGAGAGTTGCAGCCCAAAAGGTGAAATTTCCAAGCTCTGGCTGACTACATGATTTGGTGCTCTTCTATTCCTGTACTTTAGGTAGCCATTTCTTCTCCAATCTGGGCATGCCTGTGATGTGCACATATGTGTGTTTATATTTATACCCCTAAATGTTTCTCCAGTTCCAGCAGGTTGACCTGGAAAAAGTGTCATCATAAATCATAATTTACTTGACGGCATATGATTAGTACTTTACTTCTAATATAACTTTACTACATTACATGTCCAACCTACATAGAAACTTTTAATTTCATTCTTAAAAGTGCTTGGGAAAGGAGAAATACTATCATACAATAGTACCTTGGTTTGCGAAACAGATCTGTTCTACGCGGTTACATAGTATGGAAATTTCACAAACAGAAATGCCAATTAAATTATGAAAGGGCGCAATGTGCCGTGGGAAAACCCCTGCGTAGTGCGAAAAAAAGAGAGAGAAAAACGTAAACCGGGGCTTTATTTCTTATGGATTTTGGTTTGTTAACTGAAAATTACATAAACTGAGGCGTTCAGAAACCGAGATAAAACTATAGTTTATATTTCTAATTTTAGTCACCATGATTTTCTGACATTTTTCAGAATGAGAACACAAAGCAAGCTAATCATTGTAGGTCAGCCTAAAATATCTCTGGACCTCAGTTAGACAATGGTAGGAGAAGACATGAGTGAGCTTCCCTACTCTGTTTTTAGGAAAACAATGCAAAATAGAAACGATGAAGTACTTTGCAAATGAGGATTGCTATTGTAAAAAAAAAATATGAAAACCAAGTCCTGAACCTATGTCCTGGTGGAACTACAAATGGTTGAATGTGGTTGAAACCTCTGGCACAGGGAGGCACCTGCCTCAGAGAACTGATTTTGGCTGTCATGACAGGGTGGACCATTACAATTTATTACTATAGCATTTTTACTGCTTGCAAAGGGTGTGTGTGTGCTTGTCTGATTCTGCCACAGGGACCAAAATAATTTGACTGGCGTTTGATGCTATGTGCTGAGGAGTGGCCGTACCCTGCATCAGAGATGGGAAAAGTGGCCATATTGTCTAACATGTAACTACTTCTATCTGTGTTCTCACCTTAAGTATGCAAATGTTCCTGAGTAGCCCTGAATTCCACGCACAGGGGACCAAGTCCTATTATATTCATTAGGACTTACTTCAAAGGAAACATGCAGAAATTGAACTGAGTATGTCTCAATAATGAATGAACTGAGCTACTCCCATCCTCGGTGGATGTTGTCCAGAGAAATGCTACTTATGCCATCCCATCCTATTTCATTGCTTACAGCTTTGTCTATATGTGAATCCCAGGGTTCTGTATATGAAAAGTCTGATGTGATCAATAAAGAATTAAAACAACAAGTTCCTTGAAAAAAACCATTGCTTTTGATTCCTGGCTCCGGGCAGAGCACTGCTGACCAATGAAGCTAAAAGCAGACCCAAGGAGCTTGCGACCAGAGTTCACGAACCGGAGAGCAAACAGGAAGTTCACCGGGGGAGGCCAAGGGAGAGGCCCCTAACAATTTATTTTGGGTTCCTTTGGGTATATGTACAACTACATTTAAACTAACAAAACTAGAGGGAAAGGTATCCTAAACAAACATTTGAAAGTAAAAATAAGCTAGAAGGGATTATGGAGGGTGGAGACAATTCAGTTGTGGTTACCTGCAAAGTTTGTGCTATGTTTGTCTTTGTTCCAGAGTGCAAAAGGCTGTATACATGTAAGAAGTGTAAACTGGTGGCACTGTTAGAAGAGAAAGTCAGAGCCCTGGAGCAGCGAGTGGCCACACTCAAGGCTATCAGGGAAGATGAAGCCTACACTTATAGAACTCTTGAGCAGCAGCAGCAGCAGCTGTCAGAGGGGGCATTGCTGATGGAAGAAAACCAAAACATTGCCATGGAGGAAAATGCTGTAGAAGCTACAAACATAGTGCAGGAACCACCATGGAAAAGAATCACAGTTAGGAGGAAAAGAAGGAGAAGACACTCTTTCCCAGGGGAGCTACAAAATCACTTTCAGTTACTTGAAGAAGAGTCTGCCAGACAGGACGCAGAGGAGACCCCACAGGAGGACATGAGTAGAGCTGAATGCAGTCGCTGAATCCACACCCTACAAAAAGAAGAGGAGAGTAGTTGTAGTAGGGGACTCCCTGCTACGTGGAATTCAGACCGAAATCTGCCAGGAGGATCCATGGACTTGCCAGGTATGCTGTATCCATGGAGGATGGATAAGGGAGGTGATGGAAGGATTGCCATCACTTATAAAACCTACAGATTCATACCCCTTTCTTCTTGTTCACATGGGAACAAATGACACAGCCAAAAGGTGCCACTGAGAAATCATGTCTGACTTTGAAGCTCTGGGAAGGAAACTCAAGGGCTTTGGGGCCCAGATAGTTTTTTCTTCCATCCTATCAGTGCTCAGAAGAGGAATCGAAAGAGAACAGAAGATCCTCTGGGTGAATGACTGGCTACGAAGGTGGTGTCGATGAGAGCGATTTGGTTTTTTGGACTACAGGCTAAGCTTCCTGACTCAGCAGCAGCAGGAGGAGTTTAGATAGACATAGATAGGGTTTTGAGATAGAGAGATTGGGAGTTTGGGCGGAAGAGTGGTGGTTGAGAGGGATAAAGGAGATAGTTTAAGAGTTAATAACATTGCTTGTTCTGCCAACACCTGTATCAATAAACAATTTCTATTTGGTTCTTTTAAAATGACAAATGGCGTGGACCTTGATTATTAATAATAGGTATTGTTGATGAAATCAACTGGTGGCAGCTGAGGGGCACGTAACATGAACTCATTGTTTGGTGAAACAATCAGGGGCCACGTGGGGATCATGACACTAGTCCCACTCTATTCAGCACTGGTTAGGCCTCACCTTGGGTACTGTGTCCAGTTCTGGACACCACACTTCAAGAAGGATGCTGACAAATTGGGACAAGTTCAGAGGAGGGCGACAAGGATGATCAGGGGGCTGGAAACCAAGCCTTATGAGGAAAGGCTGAAAGAACTGGGCATGTTTAGCCTTGAGAAAAGAAGACTGAGGGGGTGATATGATAGCAATTTTCAAATATTTTAAAGGCTGTCATACAAAGGAGGGACAGGATCTGTTCTCAATTATCCCAGAGTGCAGGACATGAAACAATGGGCTCAAGTTAAAGGAAGCCAGATTTAGGTTGAATATCAGGAAAAACATCCTAACTGTTAGAGCAGTACAACAATGGAACCAACTACCTCAGGAGTTGGTGAGTGCTCCAACCCTGGAGGGATTCAAGAAGAACTTAGATAATCACCTGGCAGATATGCTTTGATTGTATTCCTGCACTGAGCAGGGGATTGGACTTGATGGCCTTGTACGCCCCTTCCAACTTAACTTTTCTATGATTCTATAATAAGAACATTTGGATTTCAGTAGACATTCACCATTCAAATCAGCTAAAATAATATAGTATCCTACTGGTGGTCACAACTAGACTCAAGCCATTCAATCATTGACTAGTAAAACAATGTGTAAGTTAAATCAAGTCAATTAATCTTATCTAGCTGGGATTAGCAGTTAACCAATGTGTTTAAAAAGTAGGACAAAACCCAAACCAAATCAAATCTTTTTTTTCGACCTGACACAAAAATAACACATAATTGGTACCAGTCTCACTTCCCTGGGAAAAAAAACACAATCAATTTCCTCCGTTTAAAAAAAGCACAAGTGCAAAGGAATTCAGATTTGGACTCTGAGACAAACAGAGAAGGTTTAACAATTTCTCCAGCACCATTCTTCCCAATTAAAATCTCACCCTCAAAAGAAAACTACTTTCTATCAAGACAAACCATTGGGCCATCTAAGGAAGCCAAGGAGTGTTTTCTAGTACTCTCTGGAGATGCTGGGAATTGAAACCAGGGCTTTTTTGTATGTAATAGATGGGCTCTGTCACTGCTACAGCTCAAAGTTGCTATAGGCTGCAGATATTAATGTGTATCTTATATAGCAGCTACAAAAGAGCAAGATGACAAATCATCTTTGGGGAATCACCTATAGGGAAACGGGAGATGAGGCCCAAAGGTACATTTATGTTAAGAACAAAGAAAAGAGGCAATCTTAACGGGGTGTTGTTTATTAAAATATAATCTCTATAACAATACCTTATTATACAAATATAAAAATGTGACACTCCATAGAAACATTTCCCTAACCCGGTCATGGTGATTAAAAAGTGATGGAAATTACAGTTCAGCACAATTGGGTGGCAGGGAAGTCAGGAAAGGCTGGAATCTCCAGACAACACACTCTACAAAACACAGGGAGGTTGCTACATACAAGGCTATCTTTTGCAGAACGAGAACAAGAAAACATTTCCTGCCTGGGAAAGATATCTGGGTTGCAGCTCAGATGAGTCCCATTCCTTCTTTCACAGCAGGATTTCAGAGTCTTCCAAAGAATCGTCTGCATACAAGAGTTCATCAGTCAATGTGCTTCCTACAGGGAGCGTGTTAGCTTGAGACCACAATATTCCATTCTGCGAAGTTGTGACTGGGAACAGAGGCACATCTTCCGCTTCTGTTCTGCCCAGGTTGCCAAGCTGTTTCTCGTTCGCCCCACTTAAAATGTATCTGTCCGCCATCCCATGGCTTTCATGGATGTCAACGGTGACCACTGTAGTCTCTGGTCTTTGGGAGCAAGATGCTATGATGCAGTCAGGATCCAGGTCCGTGTCGATCTGGGGAAACTCAGAGTCTTCCACCAGCTCCTCTGTGCTCTCCTCCAGCAAGCTCGTGTTAATGTAAATAACGCTGTCAGGTTCGCTCGGAGAGGGTAAGCTTTCCAACAGCTTCTCTAGGCGAAGCTTCAGTTCTGAGAAGGTGGGCCGCTCTGCAGGATTTGCCCTCCAGCAGGAGTACATTATTTCATACCTGAAGCAACAAGAAGCATGCTCAGTTGGAACAGATTAATCATTGGTACCCGTAGCAGCCTCTTCCCAAAATAGATTACGTCTGACATTGGGCATTTTAAATACAAGGCTAAGATAATCCTCTGCCAGCAGGAATTCAATTCTTAATTTAACTGCTGATGCTATTCGCTGAGACGTTTCTGGCTGGTTTAATATAAATTTTTTAAATTTTTTAATATTTAAACATTTTGGTTCTCTTTGGCTGGTTTTCCACCAAAGAGGTGGAAGTGACCTAACAAGCAAAACCAGTTATCTAGTACAACTCCCTACCAAGACAGAGAAATACACCCGTCTTCCACCCTGAAAGGCAATTACTTAACCTCTGCTGAAAAACCTCTAGCTAAGGAATGACTGCTCCACCAGTTGTCACACTGCCTCTTGTTCATCTCTATTCCTAGCTAAGCACATTTCATTCTTTCAGTTTTTCGGACAGCCTGGTTCTTAGCATCATTCAGGTGAAGTGACATAACAGTTCATAACATCAGTACTTGCCTCTTTTCTGTCTAGTCTGTCAGCTTTCTATGCTGCAGGAGGGAATTTTTGCCCTCTGGATTTTCTATTGCTTATGAACCCATTTTGAGCCTTGACTAGGGGAGCAACTCTGGAGATCTCTACGTTTCACAAAGGATGAGATCGTCACATGCCTTCAAGCTTGCAGAGAACCTGTTTCTGTATCATTCAGTGTTCTAGATGCTGCAGGGCTACCACTCCTATAATCCTCTCACCATGGGCCATGCTCATCGGGACTTCTGGGAGTTGAAGTCCTAAGCATCTGTGGGGCCAAAATCTCTCTAGCTGTGCTCTACCCAGACTTTGAGAGGAAAGGACGGAGAGATTTCCATAGAACTCAGTGGGATTTATGTCCATTCCAAACCTATCAAGACATGGGTCCTTTGGTTCCTGGGACAAAATACACTTGTAGCTCTATAGCACAGTGGCTTGTAAATCAGTGGTTCCCAATCTAGAGTTTCTAGATGTTCCTCGACTACAACT